ACTATTTTTGGGACAGTAGTCGGGGGGTGACCACACAAGACAGTCGTTCAGCGAACAGCTCTCTCTCTCGGATGGCTTCCAGATTCCCCTTCCAACTCGTCGTGTGATTATTTCTCCTCACCACATTATTACCACTATATTGTCACATATCTCTATATATATAAAAATGAATGTTTGTATGTCTGTCTGTATGTCTGGTATACAAATTCGCAGTAGTTCACTAATTCAAACCAAAATTTCCATACATAGGTAAAAAATACGGGAAAGACGATAGGCTATTTTAAAAAATATATAAATCAATTATTAAAACTATATATTTTTATTCAGAAAATGATTATGACGATATTGCTGTATCATGCTTGATTATCAGATACAAAATTATATCGGGAAAAATTCCAAAAAGCAGAGACCACGTGTGAAACCAGTTCATTATTTTGTACGCAGGAACAAAATTCTAACAGAAAAACATTCATTCGAGCAGAAAACAAAAGCTAGATCATCTTTCTATAAAAATATCGCTTCTCAGACACAAAGTTTGGAGCGGGACGTTTCACAAGAGTGACATCCACGGCGCCAATTTATAATTGTAACGAATAGTATTTGAATAAAAACATTTAATCGGGTAAAACCCGGGCGTTGCCCGGGTCATTCGGCTAGTATATATATAAATGAATGTATGTGTGTGTGTGTCGTGTGTCTGTCCTTTATGCCTGACCAAACCACTCATTGGAACGCCATGAAACTTTGGGAAGTTATTTAGTATAGTACTGGGAAGGTTTTTGAAAAATAATTTCTTGAATATCTTGAATATCCTTAGAGTTATTTGCAGATTTGTAGATTTAACTCGAAAGCAGCGCCCCCATTGCGACGATGATAACAAGTTTTTTTATCTATAAGTTTTATTATCACTAAGTTTATTATCTTAAAGATTATTTATCAAAAGAAAGATTTTCTACCTATTAATTGCGCACAAGTCAAAGTTAGTTTTATCATTTATCTACAACATATATATTGGGAGAATAGATAAAATGATGATTTTGTAATGTAGAAAATTAGGAAAGACAAAATGCAGGATGACACGGCAATTTATTTGACACAAGAATAATGATACAATTCAAGGCAAGATACTATTCCTTTAACTTCCAATTACCGAGGGAACCAATTAATATTGATTTTATTCAACTTATCGAGTATTTTTCAAGGGACCGGGAAAAAATGTTCACTTTATCGAGATATTCAAATTTACGAGTTTCAAATTATAAAAATATATATATATTTTTTTTAATAAGTTTATAGAGAATTGTTTTAACAAATGTTCGTTAGGCAAATTTTACTCGGGTAAAAACCGGGCGAAGCCGGGTACATCCGCTAGTTAAAAATAAAAAAGGCATCTCCTGATCATCTAAAAAGCACATGTGCTCGTGGTCAGGAGATGCCTTTTTTATTTTTAATATATATATATATGTATATACTAGCCGAATGACCCGGGCAACGCCCGGGGTTTACCCGATTAAATGCTTTTATTCAAATACTATTCGTTACAATTATAAATTGGCGCCGTGGATGTCATTCTTGTATAATATACTAGCGGATGTACCCGGCTTCGCCCAGGTTTTTCTCGAGGGAATGTTTGTAGTCTGGTAATAAGAAAATATACGTACACCTAAACACTATCAGAGAAAAGAGAAACTACGGAAGGTGAACAGAAAATGCTTACAATGGATTATATGTTTACGATATCAAGTTAAATAGAAACAAAGGCAAAATTTGCATATGTTGGTCACTATAAATTTGTATATTTGTTAGGCGAAATTAGAAACATGATAAAACAATTGGGTATTTAAAAACAAATGTAGAAATAAAAGTTGAAATATAATAAACAATGTTAAAGATTAGTTAATTATTAATTAAGATTATGTGTGAATATGTGAGAAAGATGTAATATCGTTGTTGTTTGTTAGATTGAGATTATTAGCTAGTAGGTAAAAAATTAACTCTGTTGATTTTTATTTTTGTATTTATATATAAATAAAATTAACTCTGTTGATTTTTTTGTATTCAATCGATAACAGCGAAGTTACTCATGTTAATGTTAGGAAATATATTTTGATGTTAAGCAAAACCTGCTCCATCTCGTTTTACATATACAGTGTACTCCGCTTATAACAAAGTCGGTTATAGCGAAATTCCGCATATAGCGAATGAAATTGTCTGCACGAAAGAAAAGAAGGGCTTAAACCATTAAAAGAACTCTGGATATTGCGAAGTCGGATATAAAGAATTTTCGCTTATAACGAAGTGATTTGCATGTATAAATTTTTATTTTATCCGTTTATAACGAAGTTTTCTCATTTACCATTATAATTGACTAATATATTATGCATAATATATATCAAATTACAACGTGTGAATGACACAAATTTAATGATACACAACAAATAAGTTAATAATATACAATTTAAAAATATGCAAACATATTATAAGTATTTTTTTTACATTATTTAAACAAAATTAAATTGTTTAATAAACGCTTATATTTTATTAACGTTTACCATGGCAGGAGAACGAAAACAAACAAGAAACTCACTATCTCTGTCAGTCAAGCTGCAAATCCTAAGAGAGATTGAAGTGGAGAAGAAGAAAAAGACAGATGTTGCCCAGAAACATAATATCCCACAGTCGTCGCTTAGCACCATAATAAAGAACTCTGAGAAGATCCACCAACAAGCTCTGCATGTGGGAGAAAGCAGTCGGAAACGAGCACGTGGATCTACATATGCTGATGTTGATGAGGCTCTGCTGCAGTGGTTCAAGCAGGCAAGAAGTGCAGCGCTTCCAGTTAATGGTCCATTGCTTTCCGAAAAGGCGATAACCCTGGCTCTTGAATTTGGATTAAAGGATTTTACTGGGAGTGGTGGATGGATCGAGCGTTGGAAGGCAAGGCATGGCATCAAGCTGCGCAACATTTGTGGAGAATCAGCTGATGTCAATCGTGAGACAATGACGAACTGGTTGACCGATGTAATGCCTAATATAATTAGTAACTATGCTTGCAAAGACATCTTCAACGCCGATAAAACCGGTCTCTTCTGGCGTCTTCTTCCTGACAAGACACTTCACTTTAAGGGAGAAACTTGCACCGGCGGAAAGGCTAGTAAGGAACGGATCACAATCCTTCTATGCTGCAATATGGATGGTTCTGAAAAGATGCAACCTTTGGTCATTGGAAAGGCGAAACAGCCGAGATGCTTCCGAGGAATCAAGAACCTTCCTGTTCAGTACGAAGCAAATCAGAAGGCCTGGATGACTGGACTACTCTTCGAATCCTGGGTTCGGCATATCGACAAGAAGATGGCTGGAAATATTTGACGGCATACGATGCTGGAACAGCATTAACAATCAATCTTAAGCAAGCTGTGGATATTATATCTGTAGCATGGAATTATGTGCTTCCAGCGACAATTTCCAACTGTTGGCATCATAGTGGAATTATTAAGTCCGATGTCAGTTCTCCATTGGATACACCACAGCCTGCAACACAAATGTGGGAGCAACAAAGCCTCTTCGATCGCATGAAAGAAGTTTTAAAAATACCGTTAGAGATGGATTTCGATTCTTATGCTGACGCTGAGAATGACGTCGTTACAAATGCCATGTTATCCGATGTAGAAATTGTCGAGAGCATTCTTCAAGCAAAAGAAGAAGAAGAAACGGACCAAGTTGATGAAGAAGTAGACCCAATTGTCCACATTCCGCATCCAAAAGAGGTCTTGGAGAGCATTCAAACTCTGCGATTGTTTCTTCAATGTCAGGATGAGTCCAAGTCTCTTCATAGGCATCTGTCAGACTTGGACAACATCGAAAAGAGTGTTCAGCACTTGTTACTGACTTCTAAATGTCAAAAGAAAATCACAAACTACTTCTCCAAAAACACCTGATGAGGTTGTTATTGATCTTTGTGTTGCTCTTTTGAGTTGAATAGTAAATAAAATTATTGGTACAAAACATTTTTTTTCCAACTGCGGATATAACAAACTTCGGATATAACAAAGTGATTGTCATGGATAATGCGACTTCGTTATAAGCGGAGTACACTGTATGTTTGAAATTTGGTTGAAATTGATGCATTGTAACGAAAGTTTTTAGTGATGTCCACTTATGAAATTTCCATTTTATTAATATAGATAAATGAGTTTTAAAAATTGTAAAAAAAATGCATAGGCCGGGAATCGAACCCGGGCCGCCCGCGTGGCAGGCGAGCATTCTACCACTGAACCACCGATGGTTATGAGAAATGGCCATATTTGGGTAATTATTCCATTCACAAAGGCAAACGGTGACAGAATTGATTAAGAAAGGGCAATGCCCGGGTTTTACCCGATTAAATGCTTTTATTCAAATACTATTCGTTACAATTATAAATTGGCGCCGTGGATGTCATTCTTGTGAAACGTCCCGTGCTAAACTTTGTGTCTGAGAAGCGATATTTTTATAAAGAGATGATCTGGCTTTGTGTCTTCTGCTCGAATGAATGTTTTTCTGTTAGAATTTTGTTCCTGCATACTAAAAATGAACTGGCTTCACCCGTGGTCTCTGCTTTTTGGAATTTTTCCGGATATAATTTTGTATCTGATAATCAAATATGATACAGCAATATTGTCATAATCATTTTCTGAATAAAAAACAACTACTTTTTTTCCCAGAACCTGTCAATTTATTTTTCTTGAATAAAAATCCGAAAAATATATTTTCCAGATTTTTCTCTATGTCCTGTTAAAACACGTTTTACATGTCCATTAGGTCAGCTGATATTACCTCCCATCTTCACCGCTAGAGGCGCTGCTTGCGAGCGAAAGGGCAAATTTGCCACGCAATTTGCAAATAACTTGTATACATACTTGTATACTTGTGTACATAGACCATAAATCTGTACATAGACAGGAAAAGCACATGTATTTTAATAATATAAATGAGTTTTAAAAATTGTAAAAAAAAAAAAATGCATTGGCCGGGAATCGAACCCGGGGCGCCCGCGGGGCAGGAGAGCATTCTACCACTGAACCAAAAGCAAACGGTGACAGAATTAAGAAAGAATTGTGCATGACGCTGATAACTGTATATATTAATAATTTCATATTTTCAAATATTCAATTAGAATTTTATTAACCAATTGATACACTTTATGAGTGATGTTTCCCTCACAACAAAACTAGAAAATGAAAAACCAGTTACAGAATTTACATACCTTTCTTATATAACATTAAACATAAAGGTACACATAAAAGTTTACATATTTGCTAATAGAGACATTTGCTTCACATTTTCTATAAACAAATTTCGTGACAATATTAATAAAAATTGACGCTAAAATCATTTATAATTTTCACCGAGAGATGGCACTGAAATTGATAAGAAGTATTTTACTTACTTTTTGATTTAGGTTTGTCAATAGGTTCTGGAGGAAACATCTGGAACACAACAACACTTACTTACAGCTTACTGTAAAACATCCTAGTAAGACATCATTTAGTATATAAGTCATGTGGGTCAAAAACCTCCATTTCTAGTAATGATGATTATTGATTATAATTATAAGTCAATTACATATTTTTTCCGATCCCTTGACACTTTATTTTTCCGTTTATCTCTCATTACTCTTCACAATTCATCCTATCATACTTCATCCCTGGCGTTGGAAATGATAGTTATTTCTCCTTAAAATAAATTTCGATTTTTCCTTCAAAATAAACATCTGCGGTGTAATTGTCAAATTTCGTTCTAAATATTTTTTACTTATCGCTAGTACACGTGGTACAGGCGATGATAATCATGGTTGATAGAAGTAGGCGACTGCTTTTACTGTAAGTGCACTACATGTCTACACATATGAAAAGCAGTTCGACTTTGCACTTACAAATGTGCCAGAGCCCCCGTTTGGTTATTTGAACTAGCTGGTGATGTTGGACTTTTGCAAGAATCGGTGGCCATTGGAGCATTTTTTTAATTTGAAAAAAGTACCCAATGCAGGAAGTCAATCATATAGTAGCGTGTAATGATTATGACGAAATTTTAGATGTTATAAACATCTATTTAATTTTCAAAACTATTTTAGAGGCGTAATATTCTTTTTAAAATAAAACAATTTCTACTGTCCTTACTGCAATGGAAAAATTAAAGGGAGGGCCTGGCTCATCAGTGGTGAACCCTCCCAGCGGTTTCGCCAGTTTAGAGGGTTCACCACTGATGAGCCAGGCCCTCCCTTTAATTTTTCCATTGCAGTAAGGACAGTAGAAATTGTTTTATTTTAAAAAGAATATTACGCCTCTAAAATAGTTTTGTAATTCGATAACAGATGGCGCGCTAGTGCATCGTAATAAACATCTATATAAACAGTTATACAGTAGAAGTGGAATTGTTTGAGATTCTTCGGTCACATCACGCACGGGAATGGAGTACATCATACTGACTGGAAAGATGTCTGGGTGACACATACCTGGATGTCCGCCGACACGCTTCTTGGACCAATTAAAGTATACCTATCCCCCGATTTACACGGTACTTGTTTTACACGTTTTCGCTTTTACACGGTTTTCCAAATAAGTTATTTTTTTATCGCACTATACTAAATGCTACTGTGATTAAACACATGCGCTGTGTACACATCTCACGAGGAATCCCGAGCTTATATGTGCTGACTACATATTTTAACCTGTCAATGCATTTTATTTTTATTTCTGTGTACACCTATCCACCCGATTTACACGTTTTTCTCAGGAACGTATCTACCGTGTAAATCGGGGGATAGGTGTAACTCACTAGCTTAACGGTCGCCTAAATGCTATATCGAGCTCAACACAGAGATGGCTGGTGTCACTCACATCGTGTTTGGGATGTAATACGTACAGTACAACGTTCGATCGAGAATAAATTGATTTACTTACAACTTGTAATTAGAGTTAAAAGAAGTCAGTGGACGATTGGGTAAAACCCTCGAATCCCGACAGTCATGAACCAGAGATCGATTCCCGTATTGGACACTTTGACACAAAGCAATAACGCGCCATCTATACATATAAAATAAAAGGATTTAAAAGCGCGAATGTTTCTTTTATACATAAAACGAACTTCTACTGTCCTTACTGCGATGAAAAATATATTGGGAGGGCTTGGCTCATCAGTGGTGAACCCTCCCAGCGGTTTCGCCAATTTAATCCACCAGACCGCTTCTCAGAGCTCTGATATTGTATTGGATCATTCTGCTTTTATATGCTACACTGAAGGATGGAATCTTATAAATGGTTTTCAAGTACACTATGGACATAAGCTTATAGGACAGTAGAATTATATTCAAATATTTGCTTTATTTTAATATGTAAATAACCTTCACATATGTTCACATTGTTGGAAATACATAAGTCGAACTGTTTTTCACATGTGTAGACATGTGGTACACTTACAGTAAAAGCAGTCGCCTTCTTCTACCTACCATGATTACCATGGCCTGTACCACGTGTACTAGGGATAAGCAAAATAAAAAATAAATACACCTATCCCCCGATTTACACGGTAGATACGTTCCTGAGAAAAACGTGTAAATCGGGGGATAGATGCACACAGAAATAAAAATAAAATGCATTGACATGTTAAAATATGTAGTCAGCACATAAGTTCGGGATTCCTCGTGAGATGTGTACACAGCGCATGTGTTCAATCACAGTAGCATTTAGTATAGTGCGATAAAAACAAAAACAAAAAACTTATTTGGAAAACCGTGTAAAAGCGAAAACGTGTAAAACAAGTACCGTGTAAATCGGGGGATAGGTGTATAATGCATGTAAAGGAAACTTTTTAAAAAAATCAGTAAAATGCTGATTACAATCATGGATAAAAAATGTTGCAACCATCAGTTTTGATAAACTCGGAAATCCGGCCATAAAACTATGTTGTTCTTTTTTAGCAGTACCTAGTAAAAATATTTTTAAACAGTAGAAATACACCTCTCTGTATAGAATAACACCTAATTTCAGAACCAAAATGTCTTTTAGAGATGTCCTTTTTATCATATAATAGCTAATTATTAAAAATGATAATTTTGGAAAAAAAACTGTCCTTTGTTTAGAAATGTCCACTAACGGATGGAAGTGTCCTCTTATGGAAGTTCTACTGTATTTAAATTTATCTTTTTTCAATCATTTGTTCACTGTAATAATCTTTATATTCATCTCAAGTTTCATGATATTGCCACGTGGAGAATTAGGAAAGACAAACTTTAGGATGACACAACAATTGATTTAAAAACAGGCCACACTTTCAACATTAAAAACCCCACCATACATTACAGGCACATACATATCTTACACCAAAGACTTATCCTAGAATCCATAGTATCCCACAAACTGGACAGCATCAACAGAAAAATAGATCTTCCAGAAGCTTATCATTGTCTCCTGTCCTTTATTTAAACCTCCCACATCTTTATTTCAATAGCCCTAATCATGCGCCGTCTCGTGGTTTCAGACTGCAGATTTGATATTTACTTTTCTCAAAAATCGGTCTTCCGTTAATATTAACATATATAAATAGTTTAAAAACTTTTCTTTATATATATATATATTCCTTCTTACCATTTGTACCATATTTCTTCTAAGTCGCACTTCATTGCTCGCCTGTTGAAGGGTTTTTACTCGAAAGCTTGCACCTATGCATCAATAAAAGAAACTCGTCTTCCTTCACCATGTTTTTCGTCTAATTTATTTAAAGGCAAGAACAAACTATGAA